TATCCCAGTAAACTGTGTAAAATGTCCTTTTATTCATTTTCTGTTTGGATAACTTGTGTGTTGACACATAAGCTGCACTTTTCAGGCACTTTTTTGAGGACCCTTTTTTTTTTTTTAATGAATAGGCCAAAGCAGAATTAACCAGAAATATTTCAAAATATGATTTAAAAAAACCTTATAATTATAGTAATATATATTGGTATCTTATAAAATTCTCTATTCCAGTTAAGGTTCAGGAACTTTTTATGACAATGACTGCAGATAATTAGTCAGACAACTGAGGACCTTGAAACTTGTCCAGGTTACATTTTCGCCAAATCATATCGGTAGTATGATCCACTTTGTCTTATTATCTGATTGTTAAATGATGTTAGTAATGTTGATTGTTATTTCTGATGTGTTCTGTGTTACAGTGGTACAGAGCCAGAATGACTGGGGAGTGACGTACACTTCTACTACTAAGATCTGTGCCTTCAAAGGATCAACAGTTGATATGTGCTCCAAATATACATACCCACTCAAAACAAATGGCCATGAGACTAAAGTTGAGAGAATATTCTGGTTTACTAAAGAAAGTAATGTGGATCTAATAATGGACACAAACTATTCAGGTCGTTTGACACATAGCTGTGGTGAGCCCTACTGCACTCTGAGAATCACCGACCTGAGAGAGAGCGACTCAGCTGAGTACAAGTTCAGGTTCATAACAAACCAACCAGGTGGGACATATACTGGTTCACCTGGAGTCACTCTGTCTGTCACAGGTAACATTTTCATCTGAATATTTATTCATTTAGTTCCAAATGTTCAACATCTTATGAAGGTTACTGTGTTTCTATGTTGACAGTTCAGTCTAAAGTTAAGATTTCTGTTCCTTATTCACATATTCAGATCTCCAGGTGCAGGTGAGCAGATTACAGGTCTATGAGTCTTAAAACTGGGCAGAGCTGAAGTGTCACAGCAGTTGTCTTCCACCTGGTCATCCTTCCTACATCTGGTACAAGAATGGACAGAACATTTGGGGACAAACATCTAATTCTTATTCAGCCTACTTTTATCCTGCAGACAGCTTTTCCTGTGCTGTAGGAGGATATGAGAAGTCCCGCTCTCCTTCAGTGTGTGAGTTTACATCCAGTCTTCCACTGACATGACACCATCTGGTGGAGCCTTTAACCTATTGTACTGCACATTAACTGCATGTAACTCAGTGCTATTTGGTGATTCATTGTAGAACTGGATGAAAACCAAATCATTTCCCCATGAGATTGTAGACATGTTGCATAATTAACTCTTATTTTCTGTCTTCACTGTAAAATAACTCACAATGAAAACGTATTAAAACAGGATTTGTTATCTTGTCTTTAGACTGTTTAAATTCTTTGGATCAGATCAAACTTGTGCATCATCAGAGAAATTCCCTGATTATCTGTTTTTGTATCTTTAATGGACACTTTTGTGTTCTTCAGCAAAACACTTCATGGGTCCAGGTTTTAACTTATTCTGATCCATCCACACAAACACATGAGTGAAAAGATGAAGTCAGATATTTTTAAGTGATTAGTGTTACAAGATCTGTCCAATCAAGTTTCCTTGTGGAAGTGATGATGTCAGAAAATGCCACGTGGGAAAATCATGTCTGACACACATTTTCATTGTTCAGTGCACTCATTTAGCTTATTTACCCACTAGAGGTCATCAGTAGACATGGTGGTGTCCAAAGACACTGAACCAGGATCATTTGCTTGGTCTCCTGTCTTCAGCACTGCTGGACTGTTGGACATTTTGTGTCTTTATGTCTGTGATGTTTATGTGCTTTAGGTTTTCTGTTGGATTTAAAGATAAAAACATCCTTCTATTTTGGTATTTCTAACATGTGCCTTATGTAAATCCACACACACACACTTTGTTGTGTTGTATTACATTTTATTGTGAAGCACTTTGTGATTTTTATCTGTGAAAGGTGCTATACAAACAAACTTTACTTACTTACTACACACACACACAGTATACGCCATCTAACGAATGAAAGAAAATGATTAAGCAAATTTCTTACAAGACATAAAGATTACCGGAGGTGATCTTTATGTCCTGTAAGAACTCTTCACGGCGCAGCACACCCTCCTCCACAGCGCGGCCGTCTCTTCCTCCACAAACGGAGCCTGACATTAGTGACTGGACTTCCAACAATTCCTCAGAGGGAAAAACATTCCCTCCAACCACAACATAGCCTCCAGCAATACTCAGGCAACAACAAACACCAGGCCTCGCACAATTCCGGTTCTCCGCCAGGGTCGGCCACGGCCAGTGGCATCACGCATGATGTCACCGCCTCTGCATTCTTCCATACGTTAAGGATACATGTCCCCAGCAATTAACTGAACTCAAGATCCATGGTCCTGCCGGCCTTTTCTTGAAGTGTCAGTATTTACCAGATGTCATCTGCCTGTAATCCATCCAACCGTCCCAGTCTATCCGACATCACCATCCGCACCTCCGACCAGGGGCGGACTGGCACAATAATTCAGGCCTGGCGTTTGACTCCATCCCAGACCCAGCAATTTAACCCGGATACATACTGGAGCGCTCTCAACTCTTAATTCTACGGTCGCATCTATTCAGCTCGTACATCCCTCTCTTGCAGGTCATCGGAGCCCCTCACCCAGCCTCCATGTTCCTGCCGGCCTTTTCTTGAAGTGTCAGTATTTACCAGATGTCATCTGCCTGTAATCCATCCAACCGTCCCAGTCTATCTGACATCACCATCCGCACCTCCGACCAGGGGTCATCGGAGCCCCTCACCCAGCCTCAGCATGCATAGGAAGCTCTCCACTCCCCCATTCACGCCCCCTTTTTACTGACGAAACACCCCAGCGTTCACCGTTTCTCACCCGCCACGCCCCCATCTCACATCATCCCTAGGCCCGCAGACTCACATCCTTCTGTTAATATCCCAACGCTAAAGGGAATTGACAAACAGGGCAGGCCAGTTTTCATCAAGCGGGCACGTTGGTCTGCATTAATTCAAACACCGGGGCCGCACTCTTACACTGCAGGCTCTGCATGTCTGCTCCTTCTGCGTAGCAGCACTACTCCATCACACCAGCAGACTCCAGCGCTGCACCTCGGTATGATCATTTCAGTCGCAGTCCTTCCAGACACTCCTCACCCATGCCACGATCGCATTAGAGTTAGACTTCTAGACACCGAGTCCAGCCTTCCTTCCTCAGCACTCACAAACTTACCTCGTCATCACAGCCGCCATCTTTGGGGGTTTTAAGGGTCTAGTGAGTCCACAATCATCCACCCAGATAACACTACACTGCAAAAACTGAGCTCTCAAAAACAAGAAAGAAAAGCATTAAAATGGGGGAAATCTTACTTAAAATAAGCAAAATTATCTGCCAACAGAACAAGAATATTTCACTTGCTACTTAAGGCCAAAAAACTTGAAACAAGTGAAATTCCTCACCTCACTCCTTCGCAGACTCATGAATATCGCTATACATCGGTTCATCCTCAGGGCAGCTCGCATTTCTGCCACCACAGGACCATTAGCAATCCATCCTTTCATCTCTTATTCATTTTCAGACACCGGGCCACAGCACCATACTGCATCTTCATCCAATACCAGTCTCACCGTTTTAGCCACGTCATTTTACCAGCTCTGCAGCTAAGAAACCTCTCTGACGCGTCACAGGAATCCATCCTCTACCGCATCTGCCCAAGCTTCTCATTAATTCAATTCAATCAGCTTTATTGGCACGAATGTATAACAACAATATTACCAAAGCTACAAAGCTCTCAACATACCAACACATAGCATCACGTCACCTTTCATCGGACATTCTCCTCTCAGGACCTCACGTCCAACCGCAATTTCAGCACAAATGCTCTTTCAGTCCAAGTCTGTTCCTCCGCTATGACCCAGGCTCGAGGAACTCAAACCCGACCTTAATCTGACTCTTCTGGGGGCTTGAAATAAACTCTTTTGAGACGGAACCCCCACACTAAGTCTCTCTGCCCGGTCTTCTGTACACCCTCTCAGGCCAGCAGCCTATCAGACGACATCCTTCTTCCACCATCACCCTTCCCCTCTATATGCATTAATCCATCCTCTATAATCCATGCATTCCGTATTTGCATGTACCTCTAAATCACACATCGCTGTGGCGTGGTCCTTGCTAGTCAAATCACTGTTATGTGTCCCTACCAGATCCTACCAGTCCACTTGATTATGTGTTACATGTACATGTGAGTTTCTCAGGTCTCAGTGTTCTGCATTTCTCAGCAAAGAAAAGCAACCTGACTCAAAAGTGAAAACACAACAAAAATTGTTTCCTCCTCTTGTAATTAAAACTCTGCTTTTCATCACGTTCAGTAAAACAGCCTCATTCACAGGTCCAATGCATTCCTGTTCCTTCACTGCACCTGCAGACTGTGTGACATCCTGCCTCAGTTCACACAGAGATAAAGAGTCAGAATGACTGTGAGTGAGTTGCAAACTGTAATTGTTAAAAAAAGATTCCGCTTTCATATAATCCACTTCTTCTTTCTGAAATGTTTCTCAATACTTATATATAATCACTGTGCTCAGCATGAGACTTTTTGCATCCCATACTGCTGCAGCACATCTCTTTGAACTTAAACTGGTATAAAGGTAATTTTTCACTGTCTAAAGATGCACTTGAAAGTGTCAAGTGATGCATCAAACCAACTTTTACACCAGTCTTGATTTGGTGCTTAAAATAGGGAGAGTTTAAAAATGTGTTGTGTCTGGGATTTTTACAGTGAAACAGGTTTAATACCAACAGGCCATAACACTACTTTCTTAGTCTGTCTTATTATGTTTATAATTAACAAAATGTTACACTTTATTGTGATATTGATGTTAACTGGCAGTAAGCTTGTGAATATTAATAATCTAATGAGGAAGGAAATGTAGTCGTTTAACAGCCTGATATCTATCTACTGCTTACTGACCACAGAGGAAGGCTTCTTTAAAGACAGCATCCTTCTTCACTGTAAGTAGAATTGTTTATTGATGTGACTGATACTGTATATCTCCTGTGTACATTATTTTATCTGCTGACATGTTTTATTGTCTCTGAAGCCACACAGAGAGATGAGAGGAGCAGCTATGAGTTTAACTGCAGCAGCGAGAGGATTTGTCGTCTCCCTTCTCTCTGTGTCAGGTACTGAATATCTAAACTTACATTTATTGCATTAAAAGGAAGAATCTGTGAAAATGTGGGTCTTGTAAAAGTAGGCTGAAGGTCACATGTGGAAATAAGTGGATCAGAATTGTGTGAAAGGCAAACTAGAAACATTGGTTTTATTTACAATTGTGGAAACTCCCCAGATTAATACATTTTTATATAGTTGTTGTTTGTGTAAATTTTAATGGATATTAGGACTCTCGTTTTTAACTTCTTTTGGTCTTTCCTTTGCATAAATTATCTGTTTGCTAAGCACTTTTACATGCTATAAATTGATAATATTGTGGGTTTCATTGGTGACTTTTTTCCTGTCACTCTTTAAAAACCTATAGTCCTGTAGGAGGAATTGTTCCATCATTACCACAGCTGTAGTTGCTTCAGTCTTTTCTGTCCTGGTTGCAATCATCTGTAAGAATTCACTATTCAGATGAAAAACCCACTCATGTAAAATATGTCTGTGCAGTTTCTACCTGAACAGCCAGAGGAGCAGGATAACCTTCAGTATGCCAGCATTCACTTCACCAACAACCAGGCAGATCCTCTCTACTCCAACATCAGACCAGCTCGCTCCCTCAGACACACGGAGCAACAAGATTTCATGGAGTACGCTGTTGTCACATTTAAGAGTAATACTGCCCCGAGGTGAGCAGCTCTTCTCACATTATCCTCACTACAATTGTTGTAGTCAAGACAACCCAAACCGAGACTATGTGAAGACCAAGACCAGAGTTTATTGAGACTGAGACAAAACAAGACTTTTAAGGGCTGAGACCAAGTCGAGACCAAGACCAGTTCCCCACATTACATGACACACAATAAAATGTGGAACGAGATCATAGGTACTTCTCAGGTTGATCTGAAAGATCCACATTCCCAGTAAAACACCCACATACAAACACTAAGAGCTGAAATCAACAAAAGCATCTTTATTCAACACTCCTTTTCCATGCTTACCATCGCAGGAAGGGGGAACATATTTTTAAGTAGGATTATTGGTTGCATTTGAAGCAATACGTTTTTTTGTAGTACTCGAGACCAAGACCGGTCTCGAGTACTACAACACTACTCACTGCAAGATTCAGATGACATAACAAATGAAATAAATGTGTTGATTTGTCATTTCCCCTGTTTTTTATATTTTAAACTCTAAAACACTGTTGGGATGTGATGGTAATTATATTTTTTCAAACAATATCTTTTTTTTCAGATCCAGAGGTCAGGAACCTGGAGAGGATCCATCTGCATTGTACAGCACAGTCAACGACCAAAACATATATTGCATTTATGATAATTCTGTTTCTTTTTTTAGTTCTTTCTTTTAGTTAATATTTTCTTGGGATATGCCTCTCCAATAATTTACAAATGAATTATATGCCCTAGAGAAATTACTTTGTTTTTAGTATATGTAAAGTATTTGACTGCATTCACCTGTAAATATAATTTGTCTGACTTTTTGTAACATTTAGTCTTTTCATGTAACTTTTTTTTTGAAAAATAGGTCTTATACTATCAATAAGACTGCATCATGTTACTTTTTTCCACACTGATGCAGCACAACAATTTGAACCCATGGTGTGCATCCAAGCGATGCATCAAACTGTTTCCTTCTGTTCCTGTTTAGTTTAGCATCACTGACAGACCCTAAACTATGACCACATTTACGATAAGATTTCCTTAGATGGTCTTTGTTGTTTGTTGGATGTTCTGAAGTGCCTCAAAACTAGTTTGTTACACTCTCTTAAATAGATAGACAGAAAGTTCATAGTTTGCAAAAACAACAAAGCAAGTTACTTTTTAGTGTGAACTTAAGTCTACTTGTATATTTGGTTCATTATTCATGTAAAGATGTAAAGAGGAAGGAAGTTGGGAGGATTTTACAGAGTAACGTTGTCTTATCAAGATAACTTCCTTTCATGTTAGGTAGAAGTGTTTTTGATGCGAATGATTTACTTCTGTGGACATTATTTAGCTGCAGACATCTTTTAATGTCTCTGAAGTCACACAGTGAGACGCGAGGAGCAGATATGAGGTTAACAGCAGCAGCGAGAGGATTTGTCGTCCTTCTCCTGACTGTACCAGGTGCTGTATATCTACATTTATGTATTTACATTTAGTCAGAGCAACCTGAAGTGAGTATAAGAAAGAACATTTAATTAAATTATTCATTCTGAGATCTCCATATTCCTATATTTGACCTGTTTTATGCAGTGTGATAATTTAAAACACCTTAAAACTCTGACTGCAACACCAACATTAGCTTTTGGACTCAGTGCTTCTACTTGGATGTTAAATGTCTGTATCTGGTTTGGTAGCACATAGTGGTTTGTGGATTTAATTGGATTTTTCACATATAATATGTGTGTGTGTGTTGTGTACGGATAAGGCAAATCAATTTTTAAATTCATTGTGATATACCCTTGAATTACTCATAATTATTAAATATGTGATAAAGGAAAATACACTAAAATACTAATTTATGATGCAATTTATAAAGATTTACTCAGGTGGTCTCCATGTTTACTGGGAGTCTCACTTAAAATACTATTTCTATGTATTTATTCACCTTTGTATTAATTACCTTATTTATTTATTGCCCTTTATAATCTTTAACTTAATTGTTTTTCAAATGTATTTTTTAATTTTAATATTTTTGTTAACATGTTATTCTTCCTTTGCATTTTCTACCCTCTTTATTATGGTATTTATTTTGTCTCCTCTTTACATTTCACTATGCATTTCTGCCTCATTACACACATTAAATAATTTTGATTTGATAATCTGTCATAATTTTCTGTAGTCCATGGCCAGTTTCAGAAAGCAGGATTACTAGAAGTATGTTAAGCCTTAGATGAGGGAAACTCTGCGTTATCAGTTTAAGAGAGCGAGATCAGAAAAAAAAACCGAGATCAGTAACTCCAGCAATTTATGCTGTAAAGCTCAGCTGCTCGGGAGAAGGTTTGAGTTTCTCTGACTCTTCCCCTCCTGCGGAGCCTGAAGCAGCGGTCTGACGCAGCGTTTCATTTCCTCATTCATACTGTCGATACCAAAGCAGAAACTGAAAACATTCATTTGCAGAAGTTTTTGCAAACATCAAAGTCCCAGTTAGATATAGGTTCCGTACCCAAACATGATCTTCAACATGACCACTTTTATGATCAATCTGTCATCAATGTAAGGACTGAGACAGCGACATTGTGGATTCATCCTCAGCACAGATAAAATCTATACGGGCTACTCTGTCCTTCTGTGTATCACTGTGACTCTGTGGACATTAAGGCAGCAACAGTTACACTGAAACATTTAGTGGCCTACACTACTGCAGTAATCACTGTTTCAATCAAACTAATCTATATGCCTGTAGCCTAACTGATCAATGAACAATCATTTGTCATGTTTAGGGCTGTCCCTAAAGCTAAACTGAGGCTTATTTTTGACCTCTCTCTCTCCCCCTCTCTCTCCCTCCCTCCCTCCTGCCATTCACCGGTCTTGTGCAGAGTTTTACGTGCATGCCGTGCTGCCGACAACTGCATGCGCGTCGCGGTTCCTCGCGGGTCTAAAAACGATATAATATTCTTTGTGTGGTTCATCAACGGTGACAAATTATCCAAAAGTCCCGCGACAACTCGGCACAACACCGGTGAAGCTGGGGCTCCATCTTTTCAGCAAGTGTTCCTCTTCTGCCACAACAAACATACAAGCTACGCCTACACATGACGACCCAGGGTTACAATTTTGGATTTATTTACGCACTTTAAAAACATTTATTGAAAGTGTTTTTCTTTACACATGTTTAGTTAAAGAATCAAACATTGAAATGTATATTGTAATTGGCTGTATATTAACTTATTGTCAGAAAACTGGTGGTTCTATGTAAAATTAAACGTTGACACTAACATATAGACAAAATTGCATGTTTCGCTGCGAAGCTTCGAATCAGGCTCCACCCATAGAAGCATTGTATCTAAATGTGAAATGAGCATAATTTTTTTACATAAAATAGGCTGGACGTCTAAAACATTACAGTCAGTTTGAACAGAGACACATTTTCAAATGCAAATGACCAAAATTATTATTACTGGGTCGGACTAATCATAGGTCCATGACTAAACTGTGTCTTATCTATATTTTCATCTTCAGTTATTGCCAGTGGTATTTTGTCCCTGTCAGGTTACAGGTGAATAAATATAATTAAAATCCAATGCAACATTACAGAAATTTACGTCTGGTAAATGATGAATGAGCAGACTACGCTGAATAAAATGTATTATTGTTAACTAAGTGACTCCTTTCATCCTGTGATTTAAGAGAAACATCATGGTCCACGTTTTGAGCATCACTGGGTTAAAATAGAGGCTTGTTTACCTGTTGCCATGGTGAATCGTCCTATCAGATCTCCATTGATGATGCTTTTTTAAATTCCCCCTGCACACACAGGGACCCTGGATCAGCTATCAGCTATATCTGATGTTATGGGGAAGGCCTTCAGTCAGCAGCCATACCACAAAGTGAATTTATTTTTTAAATTAGACGGATTTGATGACTTGATCTTTAAAAACTGACAGCTAGTCAACAATAGTTACGTCTGTGCCATCATCCCCTCCATGAGACTTCAGAGTTAGGGTGTATGATCTCCAACAAATATTTAATACAAGGTTTTAGTGAGCAAAAAGTAAATAAATGCTCCTCCGATTCCCCCCTAATGTCCTTTTCTATGTCTTAAATGAATGGACCGAAGCTGTTGCACCAACATTGATAAATATTCCTATTGTATCAATAAAAACTGAAACACCTGATGAAATACGTTATTCTTTTTCAGTTCTAGTTACAGAGATACGTTTTTGTGACACTGCTTATCCAGGATAGCTGTTCCCAAAAACACGCTGGTACCTTGATCCTCTTTGTCTTACAGGATATTACATAGAACCTACACAAGTTGTCCAGTCTTGTGCCATGGAGAGCCGACAGTCTACAGGTTTTCTCCCCTCTGCCTCTAAAAGTCTATAAAATGACATGAAAACCTGTAGACTGTTAATTCTCCATGGCAAAGGGTTTGACTCCCAACGCAGTTTTGTACATGTGCAGTAGTTCAGTTAAGTTTTACAAAAATAAATATATGAAAATAAGTTTGTTCTCTGATGTTTTGAATCTGATTTTGGTTTCTGATGTCATCTGTTTTTCAGTGGTACAGAGTCAGAATGGCTGGGGAGTGACTTACACTCCAACTCAGATCTGTGCCTTAAAAGGATCAACAGTGGACATAAACTGTACCTACACATATCCATCCAGCTTAAATAATCATGATACCAAAGTTCAGGAAACATTCTGGTTTACGAAAGAGGGTAATAATGTTCAAGTGGATCTGAAAACGGACCCAGAGTATTCAGGTCGTGTGGAGTATATTAGTCAGAACGAACGCTGCACTCTGAGAATCACAGACCTGAGAGAGAGCGACTCAGCTGAGTACAAGTTCAGGTTCATAACAAACCAAGAAAGTGGGAAATATACTGGTTCACCTGGAGTCACTCTGTCTGTCACAGGTAACATTTTCATCTGAATATTTATCAGTTTAGTTTCATGTGTTCAACATCTTGTGAAGGTTACTTGCATCTGTGTGCTTGTATGTGTTGACAGTTAGAAATGAAGATTTCTGTTATTCATGTATTCAGATCTGCAGGTGCAGGTGAGCAGATTTCAGGTCTATGAGTCTTCTAACTGGGCAGAGCTGAAGTGTCACAGCAGTTGTCTTCCACCTGGTCATCATTACTACGTCTGGTACAAGAATGGACAGAACATTTGGGGACAAACATCTAATTCTTATTCAGAGTACTTTGATCCTGCAGACAGTTTTTCCTGTGCTGTACGAGGATATGAGAAGTCCCGCTCTCCTTCAGTGTGTGAGTTTACATCCAGTCTTCCACTGACATGACACCATCTGGTGGAGCCTTTAACCTATTGTACTGCACATTAACTGCATGTAACTCAGTGGTATTTGGTGATTCATTGTAGAACTGGATGAAAACCAAATCATTTCCCCATGAGATTGTAGACATGTTGCATAATTATTTTTTATTCACTGTCTTTACTGCAAAATTAAACTGTAAAATAACTCACAATGAAAATGTATTAAAACAAGATTTATCTTGTCATTAGACTGTTTAAATTCTCTGGATCAGATAAAACTTCTGCAGCATCAGAGAAATTCCCTGATTATCTGTTCTTGTATCTTTAATGTATCAAAGTGTTCAACTTGTATCCATGGTAACAGAAACCCATGCTGTTTCTGATACACGAGGAAATCAAGCTGCACCACCGAAATGAAATAATGCTCCACTGTGAAAACTCAACCTCATCTTGAAATTAAATGTTAAAAGTGTTCATGTTTTCTCCTCCAGATGCTCCAAAGCTTCCCTCTGTGTCAGTGAGTCCCTCTGCTGAGATAGTGGAGGGCAGTTCAGTGACTCTGACCTGCAGCAGTGATGCTAACCCAGCAGCTAAATACACCTGGTACAAGGAGAATGGAAATCAAAACCATCATCCTCTCGGTAAAGAACCACAGCTTGTCTTCAGGTCCATCCAGTCCTCTGACTCTGGAAAGTATTACTGTGCAGCTGTGAATGATCTGGGGAGGACATCTGGATTTGTCTCTATTAACGTGAAATGTGAGTAAAATGCAGCTAATTTAAAAAACATTATACAATTAATGACAACTTTTTAAAGCTTAATTATCCAGTCAAATGTTTTGCTGATCATGCACTTTCTTCAGCTCTGCCTGTTTCACATTCACAGCGGCTACAACAGATGATTAAAGGCGGTTTCATTTCGAGTGAACGCTGAGTCAATGTTGAGCTCAGCTCAATGAATAGAGGGGTAGTACTTTTCTCATTGATACCTTGAATAATTTCCAAAATATTCAAGATTTTCCAGGAACACTTTGTAAGTGAATGGAGAGAAGGATTAAATCCTCCTCATCCCTACTCAACTCTGTAAGGGTACTAGTTCAGCACACTTTCAGCTACAGACTTGATTTAAACTTTAAATTGGTCACAAGATGCCAGGTCTGGATTGGGACCAAAATTCATCCTTGGCAATGTGGTTTTCACCGGCCCAACAAAGTGATGACGTTAAAAAAAACCGTCCCCTGAATCTGGACATTTTCCCCACTGAGACACCATACAAGGCAGCAATGACTCTCACACTGTAGGCGTACACGGCAAGGCGCATAGACTGCAGTCTATACACACACACGAGCATGACACAGCAGCCAGACGCACACACGAGCATGACACAGCGACCAAAAACACAAGCACACACACACGTGGCGTAGCGGCCAGACGCACACAACACACGTGATTAAGAAAGATAAAGCACCATGACCATCAGTTATGACCAAACCACAATAAAATACATGATAAAAAGAAGCATGTCCTACCTTATTAAATCAGCAGCCGTTGCATCAGCGCTCTTCTCTGCCACCCTTTTAATGATGCAATCCGTGTCCAAAGAAACCAGAGTCTCCTTTTCGATTGCCATCAACATAAAGTTTTCAAGGTGCTCCTGTGAATTTTAACGTAGAAAAGCTTCGCTCAGATGCAACTTGTGTCACAGACAGAGTTAACAGAAGCTTGTATCACAGTCCGATTAGATGGTAGGAGTCAGTGAGCAGGTTATGCCTTTGTAGGACATAATAACAACAGAAGGGACACTTTCTGCAAGATTGGCATGTTGTGTTCACAACATCTCACTCTTCATCTGGGGTCTGCTCATCATCTCCATCCTCAGTACTCATCTCTCATCACTTCAGCTTGTCCCAGTGCGTGGCCAGGCTAAGTAGTTCAGCCTGTAAGGCCTCGGGAGTTGCTCTGCTATCGAGCCTGATCAGTTTGGCGCTCAGGGCACTGACTGCACCTGCAGGTACACCGTTACATTTCAAGCCATTGAAGTTCTGGGGATCAAGCAGGGCGAAATCTGTGTACAGTTCTCTGTTTTTAGCAAAACGTCGGGAAATACTTTCAATGATGGAATCCAGAATGACATTGTGCACTTGTACCTCATACTTGCTGTCAGCATCTGATATGGCTGTATCATCACATAACTCACCTGGCATCCTTTTTGTCTTCTTTGGTCTCCGGTTTGGCAGCGTGTGTTCCTCCTCTGTGTCTGTCTCACACACATTTAATTCTCTATTGGCCCATTGCACAAATGCATCTGTTGCTGCCTTTACCCTCTTAAAATCCCTTGCATATTTTTTCATATTGTCATGTTTGCTTGTGACAAAGCGATGGGCCGTGAGCAAATCCTTTCCACTTGTTTTTAAATACTTGGAAAGTGGAGTTGTTTGTTGGAAGATGCGTAAAATCGTCTGGACAGTGAGGATGGTTTGGTATTTCAGCAGAGCCTCTGCATAAGCATCTGAATTTGCACGCATCGCAGGGTCTTGAGTGTAACAGCAAGATTAATGTAAAGACATCCCTCTGGATCCCCAAACTTCCCAAACACTGTTGTAAGCGCAGCGTCTTTGGCCCACCATCGGGTTTCGCCAATTGGTGACAGCCGCCTGTGCCGCACATCTTTGCTTACATCCTCCCATGCATTCATCCTTTTGATATGAATCTCTCAGCGATGTCGTGTAACAAAGAAAAAAGTGATGCACTCGATAGATTTTTCTTTTTACAATTTGTTTTATGGCGGGTTGAAAATACAGTCTGAAACAATTTGTATCCCACTACAACTTTTGCCAGGAAAATAGAAACTTCTCCATAATCACCCCTGTTATTAGTCATGATGTGAATATACACAAAATTAAATACTTGATGGTAGGCCGTCATCTGTGTGTTATGGACGGGGATACATATTTTGGCAGTCTGCATGTCCAGCCTGGTAGGACCAGTAGGCTACTGCTATCGCTTTTTGTTTGCAAAAATAATCAGAATCAGAATCAGAAAGAGCTTTATTACCAAGTAGTATTTTACACGTACGAGGAATTTGCTTTAGTGATAAGGTGCTACTCGTACACAAACATAACATAAATAAATGTAGACATATATAAATATGGAATAAACAAATAAACAAATGCAAGTAATATAAGAATAATAAAAGATGCTGTTTAAATGCAATGCATTATTAAATTGTTATGATAATAATTTACCCTTTAAGGAGGGCGACTCAGAACAATTTCCAGCAATATCCAAAGGCTATCCATGCAATGGAAACATGGATTACAAGGACTAAATATTGTCTCATAGTATACAGTCAATACAGTCTCGATGGCGTAGATATTTGTAGGAGCAGCTTGCTTGAAAAAGGTGACAGTCTGTCTCGATCTAGCTTCCAAACAGTAACTTGGACAACAAAGTGATCAACTACGTTGTCAGTTATAACATCGTCACACTATCACAAAATAAATGTTTGCTTTACGAGGAACGCTGAAACTGCTCATTTTGTTTAGACATTCTCAATTCAGTGCACTGAATAATATGAAGTTCAATAACACATAACATTAACGTTAGCCTATAAAAGCGTTCAAAAACCTTGTTGATAAAACAATAGATGAAACCATCCACATGTTTCATCATTTTTCATTTACTTTCGTGAAGTCGAAAGTCCGCGTTCACTGTTGAATGCACGCGTGCTCCCGCGGCAGGGAAACATTTTCTATCAGGGATAACTACCTTGGCAAGACACCAGACAGTGGTGGTGTAACGTCCTAAAGGATCCGATTAGTTGAGACACATTTGTTCCGCCTTTCGCATCAGCACCATATCGTCGCAAGGAAGGTATATTACTATGATTTGTAGATTTTTCATTCAGAGGGGGCCATAGGGGGTCAAAGGTCTGTTTTACAGGGGCACTGGCCCCTGTTGGGTCCCCCCCAAAACCGCCACAGCTCCTCTGGGGTGTTTCAGTTTGGAGTCAGGCTGTCTGCTTGAGGGGTGATAACTGCCCCGTTCTTAGGGAAAGACAAAGGGGAGATGCTGTGTTCTTTCTTTTGGCATAAAAAAAATTAAGTGTTCACTGGTTGGTTCACTACACAATGATACGTTCCATAACCTGTCATCTTTGACGCACCTGCTCCCTTGCGATAGACATTTGATTTACATTGAGCATCTAACTTATATTTCCTTTGCTGATCCTTAAAAAGCAGGCGTCTGCACATTCTCTATGAGGGCCACTTCTCTCATGTTCCATTACTCTTTGATGCACGTCTCCAGTCACGCATTCCCACTGTAAATGGGTTGACTTGTTTAGTAAAAGCCAAGCACACAGACCAGTACAGTGTGTGTGATCTGCAGGAGGCAGGAGTGACGCTTAACGACAAGTGTGAGTTTTCCAAGAACAGGATCAGGTTCCTGGGGCAGGTCATTGAGGCATCAGGAGTCAGCCCTGACCCTGATAAAGTGAACGCTGTAAAAGCCATGCCAGCGCTCAGTAACTTCAGAGAGGTGAGACGCTTTCTGGGGATGACAAACTATCTGGGGAAGTTCCTGCCTCACTTGCTCAGAGAACATGACCTCTCAGAGACCTGCTGAGAAAGTCCAATGTGTGGACCTGGGGGCCACAATACAGCAGGTGATAGCATCAAAGAAGAACTGACGACACCCCCAGGGCATACAGCGTCTACGCATGCGTCTAATGAGGTTTGCCTACATCATATCACATGTGGCTGGCAAAGACATTGCAGCTGCAGATGTGCTGTCCCGAGCTCCTGTCAGCCACACTGCAGAAGGATTGCAGGAGAATCAATCTCTATGTTGACTCTGTCATAGCGAGTCTCCCAGCTACAGAAAAGAGGTTAAGAGAAATTCAGAGACACCAGGACGACGACGCCACACTCCAGCAGTTGAAGAAATTCTGTATCGAAGGATGGCCAGACAAGTTCTCCATTGAAGAGTGTTCCAGCCCAATCTGTCATTTTCAGGTGAGCTCACAGTCCAAAACGGTCTACTACTGTATGGCAGCAGGATTGTCATCCCGGCATCACTCAGGGCAGACATCCTGTCCAAGCTGCACGAGGGCCACCTGGGAATAACAAAATGCAGAGAGCGAGCTAAACATTCAGTGTGGTGGCCGGGCCTCAGCAGAGTGCTGACACAAATGATAGAGAAATGTGATGTGTGTAGCCGTGAGAGAATTAATCGATGAGACCTAAAACGATGATGCCTACTGAGTTCCTGCCAAGAACATGGTCTACTGTAGGAGCAGATTTGTTCCAGATAGAAAACAAACAATACCTGGTCATTGTGGACTATTTCTCAAGATATTTTGAAGTGGCCAAACTGACATCCACAACATCTGGAGCTGTGATCGATCACTTCAAGTCTATCTTTGCTCATCATGGTATACCTGAAGTGGTCCGCTCAGACAACAGCCCACAGTTTGCATCCGAGACCTTCAGAAAGTTCGCACAGGATTGGGGCTTTAGTCATGTGACCTCCAGTCCCCATTTTCCACAGAGCAACGGGGAAGGCTCAATCAACTCAATTGAGCCAGCACTTGAGAGCACTGTTCCTGACGCTGCACACACTCCTGTCACACCAGGAGCCCAGTGTGAAGCCAGTCAGCAGACTCCAGCGTGTGAGGGACGTTTCCCAAACAGAATAAGGAATCCTCCATCTTACCTGAAAGACTTTGTTTGTTCTTAAAAAATGACACCTGAGTTGAT